AATTCTTACGAATTCAGGAAACAATTTGTGGTTTGGATTGCGTAAAAGTCATTTGGTTTCCATCAATGAGTGAATATTTATTCCTCTGGAGGAAAATAGCAGTAGAACTTCAGAAAGTGAGATGGGCAGAATATAAATTGAATAAATAAATAAATAACCACAAACATTTATTTGCAATCCTGTTTCAGCAAATACATTGTTTTATTTCTCATAGGTTTTATGTATCTTATTGTTAATATTATGACGTACTCCACTGGCATCAAAATTTAGATTTGACTAGAAAATTATTAGAAAAGCTCAAATGAAATCAAAGTCAGGTATAAATGGAACCATTACCTAGAAAACAAAAATATATCTAGCTTCCATTTTGATTTTTCACTTTCATCAGATTCTGATAAAAATGGCTGATTTGCCACAGCCATCTGTTTCTCAGAATTTTCAAATAGAAGGTTGGATTTTTTACATTGTTTATATACACGGTGAAGAAAATGAAAATAAATGAGCCAAATGTGCAGTATGAGAATTCCAATGTATTCGGTAAAGATTGTGACACTATGCAACAGTGCCTCGCTGCTGTCAGATCCTGGAGGCTCCAGAGTCAGCACATAACTCCCAGATAGCCTTGGTGTTGTGATTAGCCAGCAGCAGGTGCGGATGGCTGAGGAGAGCAAGGACTCAGATGAGGGGCCAGGACCATTAGGGAGTGGACTGTGGCCTTCAGAGATTGTGGGGGCTGGCATCAGCAATGAGGAGGTTCCCGAGGAGCCTGTGCCAAGTGCACATGCACACAGGATTGCTCACAGGAAAGAGCAGCTGCAACAGCATGAGCGACTCGGGAGTAAGGCTGCAAGGTAATGGCCCTTTCTTCAAGAAGATAAAAGGCAGCTGTGCAGCAAACATTCTTTGTAGGAAGCAAAAACGTTTTGAAACTCAGCCTCGTGGACATTACAGTTGGTATTTGAAGACTCTTGCATTGTAAATTATTTGTTATCTGTTGTTTTTTGGAAGTCTTGCAAAAACTTGGCAAGGCTCTTTCTTGTCGGAGCTAATTAGTTGGAAGCAGCCTTTTATCTGTGAAGAAAGAGAATTCAGAGATGAAACATTAAAAGGTTGTGCTGTTGCCTTTGTCTTGTGTTTGCTCTCTTGGAACCAGGTTTGGGTCAGAACATCTGGCCCCATCTCTGTATCGGATGCAGGTCCCTCATCCGAGTCTCCCCCAGACACCTGGACTGGTACATGTTCCTCCCCACTGTCCAACCTTGCTGCTGTCTCTGCAGACTGCCAGCGGATCACAACAGATAGCTTTGAATCTTAAACAAAAGTGATCTACAACAGCAAAATACTGGTTGTACCATATTCTGAAGAAGTACTATAGTAATGTATGGGTTCAAGTTAGAGATAACAAAGAAATGTTCCACTGATGGATCTGAGGCAAATATATAAAAAAAGTATCATAGTAGATTTCATTTAAATACAAAGTGATAAGAATAATTAAAAAAATACTTTAATTCCCACAATGAAAAACATGTGGAATTAGCTGAGTTAGCTAAATTGAGTGCCCCTATCAAAGAAAAGCATACAGCTAACTTTATTTCCACTTGGAAACTGCTTCTGGACTTTGTGCTTGAGGTGGGAAAAAAAGGAAACTTTAACTTTGGGTTTTGCTGATTAGATAGGTTTAATGTTATAGAAATATGTAAAAGCAAAAAAGATGAGACTGCTATGTTATTATCTTATTCTACTGTGCTAAAAAGAGTCAGAAGTCATTGCTTTTCCTTCCTTTTTCCCTTGTATCCTATAGCTTGACACCCTACATGTTTCCTTCTTCCTTTCCTTCTTCCTTTCCTTCTTCCCTTACTTTCTCTCCATTTTCATTTTTCTTTGCATTTTACATTTTGATTAATTAATTAAAAATGGAACTAAAAATACACTGTATTATTATACAATGTATTTTTATAATGGTGGGAAAGTGAGAAGAGTAACGTTAGGAAAGATTGCACTTTACAGAAAAGATTTTTTTTAAAAAAAAAATATAAAACTATATTTTCATGGAAAATAATTCCAACATTAAAGGAGTTTATAAGTGAAAGCAAAAGTCAGCTTATTCATGAACCTTTCAAAAAATAAAAAAACCAACCCTAGGATTATAAAAAGAATTTATGGTTGTAATGCTATACATTGCATTACAACAACACTAAGACACATTAAATTTGTACCAAATTCATCTGCAAATCAAAGATCTAATTTTAGATTTGGGAGAGTACAATTACAAAGCGTACTTTTTAATTCAGTGCAATCTCTTACATGCCTACCAAAGTAACTCCCTAATCTCAAGATTTTCCATGTCTTTCTTTTTGTATTACACAAATGGTTTCTAAATCACAACATGATTTGTTCCATTTCATATTATATTTCCCTTACAAACCAGGCATTATGGCTTGTAAACCATAGGTTTGCTGCTTAATGTGATATAATTTATACATCTATCTAGTTAAGGCTTACTCAGTGATCTATAATTAGGCTAGCTGTGATCTCAACTAGTATGTGAACCTAACTATGAAGGTTGTAGGATTTCAACCAATGAATGCATTATTGTATTCTATGTTGAAGTGTTTGGAAACATAACCACAGAATGATATTTAATATAGTTTCTGCTGCTTCTCAGACATAATTTTCCTCTAATTTAGATTTTATTTCTTTCCTTTGTAGCTGGTATGCAATGCCTTTAGGTCCCTGATTCCTTTGCTTAGTAATCGGAGCAGGCCTAGCTTTTTTGTGTTTCTCCCATGTTCTCTTCATTTGGTTGTCAACTGTCTGGTTTCCCGGAACGTTTTGAGATCTCCTTCACATAAGAGCTGGCAGATCTTCGCTTGGATGTAGTCAGCATGTATCTTAAGTGGTGAAAAAGAGCTCCCTATAAATAATGCAGCCTATGAATGTTGCTTCCATTTCTGCCCAGTTATGTGATATGATGTGACAGAAGAACTGAGCACATGAAAAGGGGCATGAGTGGAGAAGGGTGGAGAAGCATTGTACTAATGAATGTCTTTTAGGTCCTTGTCAATCCAACATCCTGGAAGAAATTTAAGAATCTTTTATTTTTCTTTCTGGTGCTCTCCCATTGCTGGAAAATAATGTCCTTCCTTGCTTGATGTCTGCTTCTTTTTATTACAATGAGTAATTGGAAGCCAAATTCCAAAAGATTTCAACTTCAAATGATGCAAAATGTTTAACTGTGCGTTACATTTTGACAAAAGTGAAATCCTTCTTTAAATTAGAATGAATCTTATTTGAAATTCACTATGAAAATGTGAACAGAAGACCACTAAAACATTTTTTTAAAGACAAATTCATGAAGAATATACTAGTAATATTAATATATTAATAATAATATAATAATATTAGTAATTATAATTTTAAGCATTATTAATAATATTCAGTGAGGTTCCTGGTTGAAATAACACATCTCAAGTCATTTTAATGAGGTATTTTCCTCCCTGGAACTCCAAAGACCTCTGTTTTTCTTATTCCTTTAGAAAAATAAATATAATGACAATTCATTGATTGAATTTACATTTTTATCCTCTCCTGATAAGAGACCTGCCTTCTTACATATAGTTGTTCCCAACTTACAACTGATCATTTTGCAAGCATTCAAAGATACAATGCTCCTTCTCAAAAGCTACTTCTGATTCAGATTTGAAGTTCTGACAGTTCCTGGTCTTTATGTTTACATAAGGAAGAATAAAAAATAATCCTAATTTAATGAATAAGGTTTCTGTAATCAACAACAGTAAAATGGTTCATCAGTTGGTTCTCTTATTGGAAATGAAATTCCCTCCATCGTAATTTTTTTTGCCAGTATCTCAATCTTATTCCTAATTGAGATGTAGATGAAGGAAACTGGTTTTATTGTTTTCTGGAAGGGCAGAAACTTTTTTGATCCAGAAATCTAGGGTACTGTAGGGTACTGTCTGTCAACTAACTTCCAATTTAATATAGATGTTACCATTATTTCTTTAAATGCAAGAACTTACTTAAAGACATTATTACCTAACACATTAAATAAATCCACAGAAACTTAACTCAGAAATAAATAGGGTTTTTAAAGGACAAATGTGTTAGTTCAAAATATTACTGTCATACATTTTAATTAAAAAAAATATTCCCCTTTTCCATGTTTAAGAAGCAGAGCAAGTAGTAAAAAAGAATCTTTTATTTCAAAGTCTGCTTCGTATATTGAAGCACATATTAAAGCAACAATACAATGTTCATAAAATATAAGTGTGATGTAACATTTCTTACATGTCAGAATACTGATATTTGTATGTATACTAAAAATAAGAACTTTAAAATTGTACAAATAGATACATTTAAAAATGACATAGAAATAGGGCTTCTCCCACTGCAACAAGACAGAGTTTTATATCTGGCACGTATTAGATTAAGATGAAAGTATAAGCAAAAAGATTTACAAGAGTCAGCAGAAACAAGTTGGATGCTCAAGAGACATTATAATTGTACATTGTCCTGTACATATATCATATGTGTTTAAGCTGGCTGAATATTATATGTTTCAAGTTTAAAAATGCACTACGTAGGGAGTGTCCATAGTTTAAGGCGAAATTACAGCTTAGAACTGTTAACTTTTTTCTAATTTGTGGAAGCTTCTTTGACATAAAAGATTTAACTGTTCAGAGTACATAAAAAGACTGTCCCTTGGTTCTAAGATGGCATTTAGAATTTCCTTTCACTTAAATATATTTTAATCATTATTTTTATAAGAGGTCATTTCCCCCTTCTAGCAAAGTTGAGACCCAACTCCCATCTTAGCCTTTTTTTTTCCCCCATGAAAAGGAACTTCACAGTATTTCCTGTCCATTTTTTCCATCAAAGGACTCCCTCCCCATCAAACCTAAATGCTGAATATGAACTTTTCTTCACTTTTTTTGTTTAAAAAATACCTGCTTACATTTCCTCTGAATATTTTTTTTTCATTATTTTTTTAGCACATTAGACACAGTTCTTAAGGCCAAATTGAGAACTTTATCGTTAAGAGTCATCTTCAAAAGTGTCTTTGGAGCCGTATAAATCTGCTAGTTTCTTAAAACGAGGTCCCCAGTTTTGTAGATAGTCATAATCTAGATCAGAATCCGTGGTTGCCGATTCTAATGAGCTCAGCGACCCGGCTATTGATCCTCTCCCTTCATAGCCATAGATCTGGATGGAATCATAAGGAGGAGCCGTGGGGTCATTATCTGCTTCTTGTATTCTTGTGTTGATAAAATCATCCACGTCAACGCTGTTGGGAGCTGGCCGAAGCCCAGGTCGTGGCATATACTGGTACTCTGGCTTGATGTCTTTGCGAGGAATAAATCCGTTGATACCATCTGGATTTTGCAAAGTAGCGATGTCAAAAGCTTCGGTGTCTTCTTCTCCACCACCTTCATCATCGTAAGTGATGATGTTCTCCCGTACATCTTCTTCTTCAAAAACAATGAGAGGCTCTTTCTTTTGTCGTTTTAGGGTTACAAAGAGCACAACGATCACTGAGGAAAGAGAAGATTTTTTTTAAACAAAACAGCAATGATTCATGCAAAAGTCCTATATCTGAATATAAAGTATACTGAATTGAATAAGGTTCTGTAATGAAATTAAATTGGGGGAAAAACACAGAAAGCTATGTTTATGGAAGGGGTGGGATTCAATTTTTTTAACTGGTTCTGTGGGCGTAACTTAGTTGGTGATCATGGCTTGGTGGTCATGTGACTGGCTGGGCAGGGCCAACTCAACATCACTCACATCGAGGCACGCATCTCCCTCGCCTGGCCTCTCGTGACTGTGGGGATGCTGCAACAGTTGCAAGTGTAAAAAATGGTCATAAGTCACTTTTTTCAGTGCCATTGTACCTTTGAATGGTCATTCCACACAAGGAAAGTACCAGCAAAGGAGGAAAAATAAACTCTAGAGAAGTTCCAGAGACAGGAAGTCTAGTCCTGCCAAGAATGAAATAAGGGTTAACGGAGAGGCAGCCTCTGTAAGCAACACCAGAATGGTTCCTTCCTGCCTTCCTTACAGGATTAGGCCAGTCATTTCTTCTAACAACCAGTTCTCTGAACTGCTTAGAATATTAACAACCGGTTCTAGCGAATAGGTGCAAACCGGTAGAATCCCACTCTTGACCCTAGCATACTTTGTTGCATGAATACGTGGTGCTTCCATTGCCAAAGAGGAATCCTTGGAATCAATCTGCTTAGACTACAGTATATTCCAAAATTTATCCATAAGTAATAGATTTTTCATCTCTCAATTCTTGTGGGCAGCAAAAGTATTGGGAGGGGGGGAGGAGGGTTGCTTGTTCAACCAGCCTGAGTCAAACCATCTAACCAGAAAATGTAGGAGGTGAAGGAAAAATGGAATGCCAACTGTAGTAAATGTCAGGGTCCAGCTTTACACCTCCAACTGTGAACCTGATAGTATCTAGATTTATATATATATGAATCCCAGTTTGTCTCTGAGAAAAGTCATATATTGTTGCAGGTTGGATTTCTACATCATACTAAGCCACAATGTACTTTATTATTCACAACTACCCAGTTGCATTTTATATGATAAATCATCCTTGAACAAACCATGGCTTAGTATAATGAGCAAACCTATCTAGATAGTAGCGGGGCTAAGCTCATCATAAGATGAAAGGTTGTACGTCACAAAATCCCTTCTTCCGCAACCTCAGTGGATGGTTGGGGAGTTGTAGATCTTGATGCAAGAAAGGGAACAATAAACCTTTCAAGATGGCATCACGGGGATGGAAAATCCATAAACTGAGATGTGTAGATCTCTATAAGAAAATCTATTTGAAACCAGGATGCCAATGCTTTGATTTATATATTTCATCCCCGCATCTTCAGGACAGGAGCTGTTCAAGTATGCTTTATTTCTTAGATGTCCTATCACACATTATACAATATAAATTTAAGCAGTTTGAGCTCCAAACCCATGAAATACAAGCATTTCTAAGTCCCAACAGAAGTAATATTTGAGCAAAAAATATCCTCCCTAAATCTATTGTATCTTAGTCAGCAACATTTGAAAACAGGGCAATGTCTCAAGCTTTACGTGTAAAGGTATATTTTAAGAGGGAGGAAATGTAGTTCCAATCAAACAATTTTTCCTTTCCTTAACCACTCTAAGAACTGTAACTCTATAGAGTTTCGATTTTAGTTATTGGAAAGAATAGTGCAATACCTTAAATTGCTGGATACTGTAGTGTGGTATCTCAGCTACAATGGGCCTTTGTATGAAAGTGGCAAAAAAGAGTAGTGGTTTTGAAGACACAGATGAAAAAGAAAAGCTTACACAAAATTGTTAAAGGATATCCATAGCATCTTCAACAAGAGCAAAAAAGAATCACAGTTCATGTCTTATTATCTGACATTTACTTGTTTAGTTGAGACAGGAAAACCCATTTTAGGGCTTTCAGGAGGGAAAAAAAAGAAGTCTTAGAATATTGCTATTGTTCTTGGATCATACTCAAAAGAGGGGAGAATAGATGAGGTATAATGTTTGGGAGGGAGAGGAAGAACTTAAAACTCCCTTACCTAACAATATCACAATGCAAGCAAGGATTGCTATTAAAGCTCCAGTGCTTAATCCAGCATTGAGGATGTAGGCTTCTAGGTTGCAGGAGGTCACAACACCATTCCCATCACAACTGCAAACTCGAATACGAAGTATGTTGGTGCTGCTTTGAGGAGGGTTCCCACCGTCGCTTATCACAATAGGCAGATCATAGGAACTTTGCTCTTGTCGGCTGAAGCTTGTGCGTTTTGCATAAATGCTTGCAGAGTTATCTGTTTTAAATAAGAGAATAGCATCATTTGCTTTTCAGTATTACAGCCTTTCCCCCCAAAATGGAATTCCCTGCCTTCCTACACTTACTCAATTTCTGAACACAAACTTTCAGATCACCCAGAAGTACAAGCTCTATGTTTATGTTAAGTACAAGCTCTGGGCTGTAAGTCAAGAACTACCCATAAAGCAAATGTACTCTGTCCTAGATATGTGGATTCCTTCCTTCCTTCAACCCGCAATGATCAGAATTTCATGAAAGACAAATTCTTTGTTTTGCAAACCCAACTCTTATTTTGTCCATGTATATCTCTTTACACATGTTCAGCATGTCAGTGGTGGGATTCATTTTTTTTTTTTTTTTGCTACCAGTTCTGTAGGCATGGCTTGCTGGGAGGGGAAGGATACTATAAAATCTCCATTCAGAGGTGGTATTTGCTGGTTCTCTGAACTACTCAACATTTCCGCTACCGGTTATCCAGAACTGGTCAGAACCTGCTGAATACCACCTCTGCAGCATATGTTACTCATATTACACAAACATACAATGGAAAGTCCATTTTATATCAGCCAAAAAAAAAAAAAAAATGAAAACAAAATGCCAGTATTTCACAAGATTAACACACATTGTAATCTCTTGATATTTGAAAACTCTGAACTCACATAAGAGATGACAATTTAGTGAGATTTCAAGCTGTTAAAAATGATGGTGGTCTCAAGAAGCTTTATTCATGGTCGTTGCCAAAATTTCTGGCCAATTTCGGGCATTCTTTTTGTATTAAGTGGTGTTCCTTTACAGCGTGGTCTCTTAACTTGGCAACTAAGACTTGTGGACTTCAACTCCCTCAGCCAGCCAAAGTTGCCAAGTTCTACATAGAACATAGATAACTCTTGATCAACTTTCAAAAGTTCTTGGAGACTGGGTTATTCTGGAGGGTATTTGGAACATAAGAACTCTTTGTGTGCTTTATAGTTTTTAGTTTTCTTTTTGTTGCTGCTTATTATACTGGGTTTCTATTCAGTTTGGAAGCTGAAGTCTATTAAATTGTAACAAGATTTTTTCAAAGAATCAGCCAGTTCATCTCATACAATGTCAAGTTCAGGATGTTATTTTATTTCATTTGCTTTGTTTATTCAGTTGGATATATTCAGATAGTGCCTGTAATTTGGAAGCAGACTAGCATGGAAGTTGCAACAAGGGAAAAAAAAATCTGGAAGATAGTTTTAACAAATCATGTCCATACTATGGCCAAGAAAATATCATTGGTAGGACCATATTTGTGCCAAAAGTGAAGCTTACTTCAAATAAGACTTCACTTTATGAGAAGTAGTAGAAAATGATAAAGGCTTATATACTCAATGAAACTAAAAATCTAGACAAATTTAATTGCCAACATTTTCTTCCGCTATGTTTCCTGGGTATTGTTTTTGGCAGATATTTTGCTGTTTAAGCACATGAAAAAAAAATGGCAGATATTCAGACATAATGTCACCAGGCAGACCTCCAAAAACACCAGGCCAAAAACTAAATTTAGCTCAGTGCAGAAATTTCTAACTCTATCATTTCCTATGACTTTACTTACTGTTTTAAAATTGGGTGAGCAAGCCAAACCCTACTGTATATTTTTCTATCCCGGTTCTGTGATTATAATTAGATGTGATAATTTTACAGTCCTGGGCTAGTATTAAATATGTTCATATTCTCTGTCTAAAAGGATTCTGCTAAGACTACATGTCTATTTGTGTGCATTAAACTGACCATTTTAGGAGCAAGCTGTCATTAAAGTAACACAAGGCTATAATCCTAAATACATTTATCTGGAAGTCCCATGGAGCTTGGTAGGAGCTACTTCTAGGTAAATATAATTGACACTGTGTGGTCTGTCTTGCAAAGTATTTTAAGCTCTAAAGCACAGGAGGGACTAATCACTATCTGATCCAGTTGAAACTTTGTACCAATGGAGTTTCCTGGATCCAAAGTAACTACAGTAAGTACAAAGTTTCAACTGGTCCAAATTCCCCTGAGGAATAATCTGAAAAAGGGCACTGGAAAGTGACTGGCTAATATCAAAAATTGGATACACATGTCATGTCATTCCTACTCTAAATTTCAGATGATACCTTCTCTTTCTCTTCCATGCAGATATGAACTGGTCACTCATGTAGAGTTTTTGCATTCAGACCAAGGACTATGGGCTGTTCAATTGAGGAGCCTAGGTGATACTGCAATGAAACCTTACCACCTGCTGACCTTATTAAAATGATTTTCCTCCTGCAGGTCTAACTGTTTGCAGAATAAAAACCATCACATGTAGTTATGTATGCACTGGTTTCTGTGTCAACTAGGTTTCTGCATTATGAAAGATTCGACTTATGCAGAATAGAATACAGAATAACAGAGTTGGAAGGGACTGTGAAGATTTTCTACAGCTCTTCGAGTACTCTGCTAAAGCAGGAAACCCTGTATCAATCCATAGAAGTACTCTGGTATTCTGCTCAAGCAAGAGATCGTATATCATAAAATCCTGGATAGATATTCTTCTGTGTCATTTTTTTTTTAAACTTTAGGGTAAAAAATAAATACTGGAAACTTGATGCATGATTGGAATTAGCTAAAGAATGAACATGACTGATGCATAATCAACTTGTTATCTGAACCACTGAACTATCAGGTCAGGAAAAATCACATTTACAGCGACGTCTGTGTAGCATCTTTTTAAAGAACACTTGGTGGAGGTTTGTTATTGTTATTTTCAAAAATAAAAATGCATTATTTTAACAGGATACGATGAGCAACAGTGCCAAGACACAGTTTCAGATTTTTTTTCTCCTCTTTCTCTCTCTGCTTAACTTCATGCTTCCTGATATCAAACATTGAATTCTAATGTATATTTCCAAATTCAATCAACAATTTATAACTGTTTTATGATTCTTGAAACCTCAAAATTCTGCAGCAATATGATCGATTTGACTCAGAATGTATTAATGCTGAAGAGAGAAAACAAAGAAAATATTTATTTCATATAGCTGAAAATTCAAAAAAATACTTTAAGATTTCTTTGTATATTGGTCGCTGTTATTTCTATTTATTACTATCTATTTATTGTGCTTTAGATCTGCAAACCTTCATTTCCTTACCTTTAGTTTTCCTCATAACAGCTTGGAAAACTAATTGTATTATTGTCACTGAAATATTTGTGTCTGTGTGTGTGTGTGTTGGTTGGAAGAAGACAGAGTGAATCAAGGAAAGGTCATCATAAATAATTATATTTACTAGGTGCTGAACTAGAGGAGAAATGCAATTCTTTGGACTAGATCTACTATCATTGATGGTAGTCATGCAGAAAGCAGACAAGTAGCAAAGAATTTGAAGGTCAGTAAAACAAGAGTTTCAATAGCCTAGAACGTATAACTCATTTTTTTAAGTTCACAAAGGCGGCGGCTTGATTAAATTTAAGGTCTGATTCACACAATGATTTAGTCCTGTTAAAGAGTGGTCATTACTGATTTCTTCTGAGAATTAATAGTTCTATTTGAATGGGTAGACAGCAGTGTTGATAAAAGAGAATTTTGAAATGCTTTCACAGAAGAAAATTTCAGAAAATTGTATGGGAGTAGCATTTTTATTTAATTGATGGTCAAGAAATGTGAGGGAATGTCAGATGTATCACTATAATAATAATCTCCAGTCTTCCTGATTTCCACACTTCCCATAATTCCCTGGAATTTTTCAGTAGTGGTAATGAGGAGGAATCTAACCACTGAGAAATTGTTGGAAATCTTCTCCTCCCCTTGGACAAGTTTCGAAAAGGTGTTCCTTCATTTATTTATTTTTGTCCAGAAATATGATAGAGAATTTTCAAAGACTATTTGAACTCAGATCTCTTTGTATGTGATTTCCTATAACCAATTCTCAGATGTAACCTACAGATAGAATACAGAAGTTCTAGATTCATAATAGTCAAGGTGATGTATTGTTCTTCACTCCCATCAATTAAAAATAAATCAGGCAGCTACATGGTACAAAGAATCTATTGTTAAATATCTTCCATTGATTGGAATTATCTTCCAATCAATGAAAAAGTAAAAATGTTTAATAGTTTGTTACAGAAATGATAGATACCATTGGACTAACAGACTGGGTAAGCAGTGAAACAAATTAGAAAGATCTTAGCATTTCTTTTAGTGAAAATCTTCAAGCATCTCTAACACTTCTAGTAATATTAGAAAATTATTATTTTAACTTATTTGCAAATCCCATATAATTTAATTTAATTTAATTTCTTCTTTGTCTTTAGTAATATCTACAATATATTTATATCTGTATCATCTATATCTATATATTTATCTGTCTCCAAAATGTTCAATTAAAATTATATGCTAAAAAAACCCACCTACCCTCAAATAGAGACAGGATAGTCATACTTTAGGAAAATATCTTTAGAGATACTTTAGCTCTGGAATTCCTTTTGTGAGGCAAAAAATTGGAACAGATAACTTAAAAAGTTTTCTAGCTAAAAAAGCCCTCCAGCTTTATGGTTTCTATGAATTGAACCAGTAAATAATTTAGGTTATATGGCAACAGATCAATGTAAGGAGCTCACCTACTTTTTTCCAAAATGAATTTCTGGAATCTTTTTTTTTCCCCAAATAAAATTCTAGTAGGCAAGTTACTTATAATTTCATTGTATGAGGAAAACTGTGTTAGTCTTTGGTAGCACAAAATCAGAAGACATCTGGAAGAATTTCCAACTGACTTTATTTTAAAGCATAAACTTTCATGATCTGCAGCTCACTTCATCAGATGTTTTTGATGAGTTTTAGAGACCAAATTAGCAATGCTTTGAATATTTTTATGACATTTCAAATAAGCACTCAATCAGAAACTAAATGTCTATTGAAATTCTCAGTCATCCAGGTCATGGTTGCCTCAAAGGTGCTTTTTTCAAAAGGCAACCATTATTTTTTCTTGAGGAAGAAGATATTTCACTTCTCATCCAAGAAGCTTCATCAGTTCTATCTGGAAGGAGGGAGGGGAATGGAAGGATTAGTTGACTAATCCAGTCAGAACTGATGAAGCTTCTTGGGTGAGAAGTGAAATGTGTTTTAGTTTTAATTTTAGTTTAGTTTACTTTATGGTCATTGCACTTCGTACAATGAAATTAAATACCATCTTCAGTGTATATTATGACTATGAAGATAAACACAAACACACACCCTTCACATTCTATACATTGAACTGAAAACCCCTGATATTGCATTCTGTTCTTTTGTGTTCTTCCTCAAGGAAAAATATGTCTGTCTGTCTATCTGTCTATCTTCTGCCTTTTGAAAAAAAAAGCATATTTGAGACAATCAGAAGCTAAGCTTTATCAAAGCTACTCCTCTCTTATATGTACTATTTGCAATTTCTTAATTGGGAAACAAGGTGGGAGTAGCTGTTGAATCTGAAGCTATTGCTAGCTGAAGGTGAAATGCTTTAAATTCAAACATTTGATCTCTGAACAGTACAGGAATCCCATGCAAAGTTGGCTGGTTATTTATCTGATTCAGTGTTTATCTGCTTCCCATAACACTCACCAGGAAGAATGTTCAGGTTGCTTCTGACAAATTAGGGATATCTATTTTATTCAGTTGGTTAATAACATTATTTGAATCAATTTGAAAATGTTAACCAATAGAAACTTTGATTCAAAGTATTGAATAGAATGGATTAGGTTGCCTGTATACCTTTTTTTTAAAAAAAAAACTTCCAACACAATTCAGGGATTCTGTCTGAATTTGTGCATCTGATTAGGAAATTCCCTTTGGTTTGAAAAGTTTATTGAACTGACTATGAACCTGATCTCTGAATAGGACTTTAGCATAACCTTACTGATTGTTACATAGCAATTGAGAGTTTCACAATCCATTCATTGAAATTCTAGTAGATGCCTGGAGCCAATTTTGTGCTAGAAGAGGCTAAATGGAAATGGAGAGGTGCATTGATTAGTTAGATCTCTGTTATCCTACTAATGCTGTGATTTTTCATAGTAGACAAATCGTAATTTTGCATTAAAATTGTCTTTGTCTTATACTTTTGTTTCTCAGTTTGGGATTGTCTTAGATTTAGATTGCTGTACTTGCATAATAGATACTTGATTTGAAAGATGGCTTCTCTAACACTTCCCAACAATATTTGAAGTGAAAGGAAAGTTTACTATAAAGAATGTTTGCAAACATTAAATCAAGTAAAAAGACTGAGGTTTCATGTTTAATGTGGGATGAACACATTAAAAGGCTTAAAAAAAAACCTTATTTTGAGCCAAATGGAAACATAAAATATAATTCACCACAGATTTCTAGTTTTTGCCTTCAAACCACAAACTCTTCTAAAGTTGCAGAATAAATACTTCTGGATCAATGTAGCAATTGTTCACTGCTATACTTTCAGACTAAGTGCCTATCTTGCATCTAGTGTCAACAGGGTATATGTGCTATCAATCAAATATGAAAGAGAAAGAGAACCAAGAACATACCTGACATCCCCAAATGGCGACCAGTAATAACTTTAAATAGAATGATTTTGGCTCAAATAGAACCATTGTTTCTTTAATGGATTGGGGAGGCTCTGGAATACATTTGATAATCAACAGGGCCTCTAGGAATGCTGTGGGTTTGAGGGTGCGGTCTATCACTATCCATGATCTGTAAGGGGAATGGGCCTGGTACTTTGAAAACAAAATGCATTTGAAAACAGCCAAGTAGTGCATCATTGAGCTCTGGCTTAATTAAAAAAGATTAGCCCTTAAAGTTTTGGGGACCAACAGTTCCTCAGCTGCAAGGCTATAACTACAAATCTGGGAGAAAGCCACACTGAATCAAATGGAACTTACTTTGATTTGGCATGCAGGGAGGGTTGTACAAATTGTAGAGTACTGTGAGGACCATTTCAAACGAGTTTCCATTTATGAAGGAGAACAATGATTTAAGATGAATTAGGAAAGGGGGAGAGTTCTATTTCTAGTTTGTGATGGATTATCTTAGCACCCTAGCAAGACTGTAGCCAATAGTTCTTTTTTTTTTCTTTTTCTTTTTTTAAAAAAACTCCTGAAGTGCATTTGCAGTAAAGTCAGTCAGTCAGTCAGTCAGTCAGTCAGTCAGCCAGCCTGTTCATCTGTCCATCCATCCATCTATCCCATCTTCCATCCATCCATCCCCCTGTCTATAACTCTTCCTACAATCATTTCATTTACTTTAAGCCTGGGCAACAGTTAAACTGTGCAAAACAGGTCAGAAAGCTTTGGGGGAAATGCATAAAATGACTCTAAAGATCATAATAATTGCTCTGGTGTTTTGTCCATATCAATATTCTTGATAACTACATGAAATCTAATATGAAACTGGGAGTAGATTTGCAAAGCTTAGTGAGAACATTTTAACATGCACCATTCTGCTTTTTTTTTTTTAATATAAAAACAGTCTACCATTTGAAATATCCAACAACTTGTCATCTCTCATCTTCCTCAGCTACAAAATTCCGACAGCAGAATCTTTTGTTTTGTTGGTATCTTTCATGTTGGATTGTGAATAAGGGAAAGGGAAAATAGGTGTGACAAACATTTCTGTCATTTGAGGATGGGCAAGTCAGGATGGAAAAAAAAACACACACAAATGATATTGGAAGTGTAGTTGTTTGATATTCTGTGGGATACATAGTAAGAGGATTCTGAAAGCTCAGCTGAGTTTTGCCCTCTCATTTAGAGCAGTATTTCTCAACCGGGGTCCTTGGTGCTCTCTGGGCTCAATTGTGTTATTGCAGGTGTTTCATTAGCCCAACTAGGTAACATCATCAATGATCAATAACATCACTAGCACCAAGGACCCCTCAGTTTGACCTTGAGCTACAAATATTCTCCTTTATTACTGTTCTCAGTCTTGGCAAGTTCAAGATAAGATATGCGGTCTTCAACTCCCAGCTGAAATTATCGAGAAGAATCCTGCTAGTGAACGAAACACCAGAGCAATTGATGTGGTTTTTTAAAGTTGTATTTTACTCATTCTCTACATTTTTGTGAATCTCTCTCTCCCCACCATTGTGAAGCTCTCTTCCCCAGTCATTGCTGCATAAAATCAGTCATGGCTAATGAGGAGAGAGAGAAAAAAAGCTATTGGGAGGATAATAAGTTCCCTCCCCTCCTATAATAATGAATATAAGTACAAACCTCGGTTATCTCTGAGAGTAAAATTGGGCTTCTGCATCATTTCAGGTGGCAAATGGAAGATGAATCTGGGGCCATTGGCTGTATCGTCTTTGTCCTCTGCTAAAATTGTAATGAGTGGCTGGAAAGAAAGGCACTTATCAGTATGCAGTGCATTTGAAATATCTCTTCCTCCCTGCCTCAATTTTTAGATTTTACTTTAGTTTACTTTAGTTTATTTTCATTGCAAATTGTACAACAAAATTACATACCATCTTCGGTGTACATTATGACTATGAAAACGAACACAAATACATATCCTTCACATTCTAATCTATACATTAAATTGAAAACCCTTGATATTGCATTAATATTGCACATAATTCAAGAGAGTTACTGCCCTGGGATAGATGCTGTTTTTCAGCCTATTTATTCTTGTTTTTATTATTCTGTACCGTCTGCCAGATGGTTAATAGTTCAAAAAAAGGTTCCCAGGATGAAATGGATCTTTGATAATGTTTTGAACTTTCTTAAGGCAGCAGGAGTTATAAAGCTCTTCCAAAGAGAGGAGAGGGCAACCAATTATCTTCTGGGCAATGATGTTAACCCTCTGAAGTGCTTTCCTATCTGCCACTGCGCAATTGGCAAACCATACAGAGGTGCAGTAAGTTAAGATACTCTCTAGGGTGCAGCTGCAGAAGGTCACCAGCAGTTTTTCATTCAGTTGTTTTCTGAGAAGTCTCAGATAGTACAATCTCCGCTGGGCCCTTTTGACCAGTGCTGCAATGAGAGCACCCCAGGTCAGTACTTCTTTTAGGGTAACACCCAGAAACTTAAAACTGGCCATTTGCTCCACTCAGTCTCTATTGATAAGCAAGGGCTGGATGTCTGATCTTTCCTTCTATAGTCCACTATAAGCTCCTTGGTCTTATTGGTGTTGAGGACCAAGTTATTGTCTCCAAACCACAAAAGCAACCGGTCCACCTCATCTTGGGAAGAAGACTCATCCCCTGGAGATGAGTCCCACCACTGTTGTATCAACTGCAAATTTAGTAATAGTATTAGTAGCGTGAGTGGGAATGCAGTCATTTTCCACATTGGGATTTGCTTTGTAGAATAAACTTTCAACCAAGGTACCTTCTACATCACTCGTGCTTTCGGATAAGAAGGTCAGCAACAATAATGTTCAAGGGAAGTTCAATCCAAGTAGTCCTCAACTTACAACCATAACTGAGCCCAAAATTTCTTTTGCTAAGTGACACATTTGTTAAGTGAGTTTTAATGACTTTTCTTGCCACAGTTGTTAAGTGAATTGCACTGTGTTAGTAACACAGCTGATAAATGAATATGGCTTCCCACTGGCATGTCAAAAGCTTGTGAAAAGTGATAACATGAGCCCATGATGCTACAACCGTCATAAATGTGAGCATCTGAATTCTGATCAGGTGACCATGAGGATGCCGCAATGATTGGAAAACGGTCAGTTACTTTTTTCAGTGCCACTGTAACTTCCAATGGTCACTACACGAACGGTTGTAAGTTGAGGACCACCTGTAGTAACAATAGGCTTTCCACTGCCACTACCAATCAGTCAGACAGGTTTAGCTTTTCCTGCTTCTCCTTTTTTGTAGGGGCTGCCTGGAGAAACCAAAATGGTCAGTCTTGAAGAAGAAAAGATAAAGTGAACACGCTTACCTTATTTGTCTGGGGTTTTTCACATAGAGAAGCTTCATAGGGCTCTTTAAACTTGGGGACATTATCATTTAAATCAAGAACTTTAATTGCTACTGGAACTTTGGCTTCCTGATGCCGGTTATCTGCAATAGTTATTGAGAAAGAAAACATAATAGCGCAAGCACAAAGTTGTTTTGTCTGTTTTTGGGTTTTTTTTTTTTCTACCTTGAATGTCTCACATATGGACTTTCTCAGTCTTTGACCTACTCGACTTTCTTTTGTAGTCCTCGGTGGAGGACACTCAGTGGGACACACAGATTGTCAATGACTTGGTTCACACGACATCCTTAACTGAGTATGTGGGTTGGCACGGCTTACACAAACTGATATATCTCTGCTAGTTAATCATATTGTCTGAATGATTTGAGATGATCATAAATGATTGGACTCTCTTCTCAGAGGCAGAGGAAAAACTCCCATAAGGGCTCCCTAGAAAGGAGGCACCCCTGCAAACTTTGTGGATGTTTGGGTTTTTGCTGTATAGGAAACGAACAGAATGAATGCCTCACTTTCTGCCAAAATCAAAACAAAACCAGAAACGGGAGAGGAAGGAGAGAGAAGAGAAGGGAGGGAAGGGGAGAGGGGGGAGAGAGGAGAGAAGGGAGAGGAGGGGAGAGTTTATGTATTATCAGGGTCAACTGCCCAACAAGTGGAATATTTTTAGTACATCTATATAATATAAATGCGACCAGCACCTTTCTCAGTATTAGTAGAAGATTAGTAAAATGCTATCAGAATTAATGAGTTCTCATCATCAGACCCTGTCATTAATAAACCATGTAAATTGGATAATTTTTCAAATCTCTGCTCATTAATATTTTAAGATTGGCATGATTCCTAGTATGGCAAGGTCAGAAACAAGCAGCATGAAATCAGTCTAATCTATTACCATAACAAGGGACAGGTAGAAGCCCTTTCTCCTACTCAGAAATAGGAACCCTCAATCCCATTGTAAATTTTGGTCAGAAGCAAAAGGCACAAAGATTAAAGCACGGACTTCAGCCATGAATCAAATGTCCTTTTTGTGTTGGAAAATTGCCTGGGTTCTTTCTTAATGCTTTACACACAGTAGTTCTTACAATAAACTTATGCATCAGATACTTACATCCCAGACCTCTGAATTACACAACTTTCAGTTCCAGAGAAAGCCCAAAATTGTGCAGTTAAAACTGAACACTAACGATTTAATTAACTTGATACGCATTTTGGTTAACTGGAGACTGCCTGCTCATGCAGATAGGATGATGAGTAGCATGCTATTATTTTCCCTGCCCCACCAAAAACTAGAAATTGATCCGGCCACACAAGATAAAGAGATTAAGTGACAGCTCTAGCATGCAGTCAACAATATGTCTGAGGTTGCTTCATACAAAATTACCTCTTTGTCCCTCTTGGGTCTGTGGAAATCCAGGTGAATTTGTGGCAATGAGTTATTGAGCAATATATTGATCAAGCTTGGGTTTGAAAGAAAATAATGGGTGAACTTCTTTTAAATTGCTTCAGTTTTTGAAATACGTGATTCCCACATCTAAGATTGATTTGATTGGCTATCATGCCTGCCTGCCTGCCTGTATATATTTTCATGAAGTTAAGAATTATAAGAATCTAATCATGTCTAATTTCACTTCACATAGCATCCATGGTCATGTAGTCAGGTGATAACTACATGACAGAATTCACTGGTGAGACTTGTCTATCTTCTCTTTTTCTTTTGTTCATTCAAGCAAAATGAATTTGATTTTCTGATGTGACACAGAGTAATCAGAGGTAGCACTCAGCAGGTTCTGACCAGTTCTGGAGAACTGGTAGCAGAAATTTCGAGTAGTTCGGAGAACCAGCAAATCCCACCTCTGACTGGCCCCACCCCCATCTATTCTCTGCCTCCTGAGTCCCAGCTGATGGGCTGGGTCTTCTTTGGTTGCCCTGCACAGGAGAACGGAGCTGGAAATCAGGTTAGTGGGGTGGGGAGGGAATGGAGTTTTGCAGTAACCTTCCCCTGCCATGCCCACTAAGCCACGCTCACCAAGCCACATCACACCCACCAAGCTACGCCCACAGAACCGGTAGTAAAAATGTTTGAATCCCACCACTGAGAGTAATGTTACAAAACTATCATTCTGGGAAGCCTTTAAAAAAAAAAAGAAGTCCTATTCAGTAGGATGGAAAACATATGGGATGGATACGTTTTTGTGATAAGGAGGGCCCAATCAGAAAGCAAAGATCCAGAGTCCTGGATACAATCTTCCAATATTTGAGGGGCTGTTACAGAGAGGAGGGGTCAAGCTATTTTCTAAAGCACCCGAAGGCCAGACAAGGTATAACGGATGAAAACTGAACAAGGAGAGATTTAACCTGGAAATAAGGAGAAACTTTCTGACAGTGAGAGCAATCAACCAATGGAACAGAAGTTGCATTTGGAAGTTGTGGGAGAACCATCACTTGAGGTCTTCAAGAAGAAATTGGACTGCCATTTGTCAGAAATGGTGTAGGGTCTCCCTCTTGGGCGGGGGGTTGGACTAGATGACCTACAAGGTCCCTTCCAACTCTGATTATCTGTTAATTTGTTATCCTTTGAGCCTGGCTTCCTTTGGTAATGAGAAATTCCAGAGAGAAAGCCATGTGTAGTTTCTGCAAAGTCTTAATATCTATTGACATCTGTTCTCCAGAAAGTGGTGGACAGAAAGTATCTTTGTCTAATAGTGCCCAGAATCAGTCTGGGATTCACTGGATGGTGTACTGCTGAATATACAGATAGTCCTTGACTTACAACCATTTGTTTGAAGTTACAACAGCACTGGAAAAAGAGACTTATAAACATTTTTCACACTTATGACCATTGCAGCATCCCCTACGGTCACATCATAAAAATTCAGATGGTTCATATTTATGATTATTAGAGTGCCCTTCGGTCATTTTGTGACCTTCTAACAAGCAAGCAACGTCAATGGGGAAGCTAGATTCATTTTGCAAGTCTATTACTAACTTAACACTTAACTGTGGCAAGAGAGATTGTAAAATGGTGCAAAAGTTAACTATCTCGCTTAGCAGCAGAAATTTGGGCTTGATTGTGATCATAAGTCAAGGACTGTATGTATTTATATAGGTAGACACGCTTAGCAGCATTTTACCTTTTTATTTCAAGCTACACCCAACCAAGGACACTCCCTCAGGTCCGATGTAAAATCTCACCCAAAATGAAAGTGACCATAGGTTAAATATCAGTCCCAAAGCTATTGAGATCCCAGTACCTTTCATTTCTTCAAAAGTGGGGAGTGTATATGTCAACAGGTTTTTGGGAACACTTACGAACTTCTGATGCTAACACGGAAATATTGTGCCAGGCTATTTCTTCCCTATCCAGGTTTTTTGTGGTTGTAATTGAGCCATCTTCTGGACTGATGCTGAAGTATCTGTCGAGGTCAGTGTGACGATCAATTGAATATCTAAAAGGGGATGCAAATGAAATCATTAGAAGAGAATTGTTCATTGTCCTCAGTTCATTTCATGTCTCCCAAACAGTGTAGCGCAGATTAGCTTGGTGGGAATATGCTTAGCAAGATGAAAATATTAATTAGAATGACTAGTTCACTTCTAAATGGAAACAGGTGCCTATTTATTGGTAGCATGGAGTAACAATCCATGAGTAGAGTGCAATATATATCTTGTTTTTATTTTGTTTTGGTAGCAGGGACTATTTATAAAGGTAAGGCTATTCAACAATTCAGGGGATGAGGTGGCTCAGTGGCTAAGATGCTGAGCTTGTCGATCAAAAAGGTCGACAGTTTGGTGGTTCGAATCCCTAGCACTGCCAAAATGGAGTGAGCTCCCATTACTTGTCCCAGCTTCTGCCAACCTAGCAGTTCAAAAGCATGTAAAAATGCAAGTAGAAAAATAGGGATTGCTTTGATGAGAAGGTAACAGCGTTCTTTGCACCTTTGGCATTTAATCATGCCGGCCCCATGACCATCAAGATGTCTTTGGACAGTGGCTCTTCTGTAATGGAGATGAGCACTGCCCCTAGAGGCAGAAATGACTAGGATGTATGTCCAACGGGAACCTTTACCTCATTCAACAATTCATTCTACCTCATTCAACAATTCATTCTATATGAATGAATTCTTATTCATATAGACATTTTATTTGGATCCCAGATGAGCAAAGGTCTTTATATAGAATAAATATATGACTCCCTTCTGTTCATGTTAGAATTCTGCATAATGCCAAGTTGTAAGTCACAGCAGGAAAGTAGCTCTGTGGAATAAGTACCTTTCTTCAACAGTTGTTCTAATATGTGGACATAAAATGGCAAAGCCACAATGTTGGTCTTCCAACTGTGTAAGGTTCCATTTGCCAATAAAAATAGTATTCTACGTAGTGTTCTCTCTACATGCCTCACACATTGATGCCACTAGGTTGTGTGTTTTCATGTCACATATTCTATAATTGTTTGTCCCAAATAGAAGCAAGAGAATCCATGATGTGATAATGTCCCTGGAAGGTATAATTCACATTGTAGTGTTTGGGAAAGAACCTGATGCAAAGGTCTTATTTCTGTTCATCTGTGATGTGCTTCTTTGGATATTTTTGAACTGCAGTTGTAGCATTGTTCACACTGACTATGCTGGAGCTGCTGAGAGTTATAATTCAATGTCACAATCTCCCTACCCTTCTGTGTGACTTAATTGTCAGTTACCTTATTATATTTCTTTCAAAAGCTCTTATTCAGAATCTATTTTAATATTTTTCAACTATCATTTTAAAATAGTTGCTAATATTAAAGCTGATTTAATAATTATATATTTCTAAAAACAGACTAGTTTATTACAATGGTAATAGGTCATTGGCTATGCACTCTCCTATTGTGGAGCGATGGCTCAGTGATTAAAGATGCTGAGTTTGTTGACTGGATAAGCTGGGCTTAAGACATGAGTGCCACACAATGGGGTGAGCTCCCATTCCTTGCCCCAGCTCCTACCTACTTAGCAGTTCGAAAACATGCAAATGTGAGTTGATTAATAGGTATCACATCACTGGGAAGGTAACAGCATTCTGTGTGCCTTTGGCATATACTGGTCCCACAACCATGGAAAACGTTTTTGGACAACATCGGCTCCCTCAGCTAAGAAACAGACATGAGCACCATGCCCACAACTAGACAGGGAAATCTTAACTACTTGCATTCCAACAGTGAAATTCTAGTCACTACAAAGAGATATGCATTCACATGCCTTCCTAGATTAGCTTATTAATGCCTGGCTGAATGATGGTGGATCATATATCTTACACAATCTGAGGTCCAGAGGTTAATTATTTCCTTTCCAGCTACTTAGATCAGTAAATTGGTGGTGGAATGTAGTAGGTTGGATTCCAAGGAGTGAGACAACGGAAACCAGGTAGGTGTGAGGGAAAGAGGCTGAAGACAGCCCCTCACTAATAATACATAGAGTATATGGTAGATGCAGATAGTAGAGTGTTTATTCTGTCAAGATTGATGTCAGGCCCAAAGCCAAAAATGACATGTGGCGATTCTCCCAAGCTTCACTGTCTCTATGCTAACTGTTAAGGAGGGTCTGTCTTCTATCTTCATCTACTTTTTCTCATACAAACTACCTAAACCCAGTTATTCTTATTCCTCTGGAATATATTCCCCTTTCTCCTGGGAATCCATCCCACTACATTCCATCACAGAATCAGATACAAAAGATTTTGGAAGTGGAGAAGTGGACTTTTGTTATGCAGCTGAGATCATATGATTGGTATGTATCTTGAAAAAATACATATTTTGAGATTGTTGCATCTGTAATGCTTCTGAACACTGTTCGATTGAAGGCATTGAGCAGACACTAGGACTAAAACATTTATTTTCATGATTGTGTATGCAAATAACAAATACACACACACACACACATACACATGTATACATATACATATACACCCACATATGTGAGTTCAGGCATGCTACATTCACTGTTATTTCTATGTATCTGCACAACATCGGTGCAGGAAATTCAGACTTTTTATTCTAAAGTTTCGTACTGCTAACTCTGCCTGGAAATTACTGTGCCTGGTAACTAAAGAGGAAAAAGTAGAATTGCTTCTCCCTATAGTACACCCAGAGTATTATTACGTTGCAAGTGATGAAGTCATTATTATTGATAGCATTTGCAGCATTTTCTATTTTAAGCCATTGTTGCCTGTTATAAGCATACCTTACAGGGCTGTTTTTAGCATCAGGGTCTTTGGCATGTACCCGTCCAACTGGAGCACCTGGCCCTGCATTCTCTTCCACTTCGAGGATGTACAGTGGTGCTAAAAACATGGGGGGCTCATCTGCATCCTCAACACTAATCTTCACAGTCACAGTATCCTTGAACGGTCCATTGCTGATGAATTTGGGGTCAATGTATATGTTGGCTGCCTCTACCTTCAAGCTGTAGGCTCTTTTGGTTTCATAGTCAACTTGCTGGGGTTAAGAAAAAAAAAGGAGGAGAAACAAGGTATCATTCCAAGGATGTTTTTACAAACAACAACAAGAAAAAGATAAACCTCCTTAGAGTTCACTTCCATCCTTACTGCTTTCATGAATCTATCCATGAGGGTGTCAGGGCTCCAGTAACGATCCCCATTTAAATCATGAGTCTCTAGCCTGCTCAAAGAAGATTTATTAGGAGAAAACATATCCCGGTGCTGTTCTGAGACACCTCATTCATTTCACCTTTGACCCTGGTCTTCCCCCATCCTCTGGGTGTATATTCTCCAATGGGACACATCCACAGCCAAGAGTCATCAATCATGCTCTCCAGTTATAATTTTGCATGCCAGAAACTTTGGTCACCTAGAAATTATCTATGAAAGCATCTAAGGAATATACTACTTCCTCCCCTCCCTTTCTGCTGGCAACTCTTAAAAGACCAGAGAAATATGTTATGAGTTGACAGAGGGTTTTTGGTCAACATTATATAGATAACTTGCCATTACTTTCTTTCAGGATAGTTTTTTATTTCCCTGTTTGGTCTCACTCTGAGGTTTCCCAATAATCTCCCACAAAGTACTAACCAGAACCAGCCCTGCATAGTTTCCAGCCTAGATAAAGTTTGCCAGATGTTGCCAGAGGCTGAAATCATGTCCATTTCACTTTTGTATCTACCTCCTATGCACACATAATTCCTATATTTGTTTAAGATATTGTTTTAAAATACAAAATCATTTTAGATTCTTTGAGAATATAATATCTTCCCTACTTTGCTTTTTGGCATGAGAATGAGAAATAAATTTAGGATTATCTTTCTTTGTAATATGGTAGGTCAGATCACAACACCTTTAGAATCAGGCATATTTATAGGTAAACTGACCAATACTCAAAAATGTATAATGGAATAAAATGAACTTAAGGAACACCTGATATGACAATTTCTGCATCTCCAAGATCCAGCCTGTAATTTTAAGAATAAATAAAGTCTTAATATTTCAGGTAAAAATCTGTATGGACACTACTGTTAACTAAACTATGGTAACATTTCCTAATTTGGGACATTATTCAAGGCTCAAGTACCACAAGGGGAGTTATAATCATGTTTAATAATGCCTGGTCTAAATGTTCCCAGGTGCTAGAGCTATTACTGATAGTATTACTCTTATAGCAAAACAGGGACCTCTATTCTGTAATGGTTTGCAGATTCTGATATCTAGTTGTTCCTATCTGGGGTCAATTCTAATTAAAATATACTTCTAGGGATAAAAGTTCACATCTTGCTTTTCCATGCATACATATTACATAACATGCACAATTATTGTGAGCTTTAGATAATGCCTGAATTGTATAAATTCCCAATTCAGCTCTAACTGCTGCAGCAGAGGTTCTTAGGTCTACACCCAAAATACATCTCAAATGCTGGGACTGTTTGTTCTAGGACTGTGGTTGAGTAAAGACCCCAAATTTCTGCTCCATACAAGAGCGTTGTGGTAACCTTAGGAATGTGAGTTATTCTGACCTGTCCATGTCTAAGTGGATTTGTTAGCATATAAATTTAATAATGGCAAAGTACCCAACCATCTAAATACATCTTGAGAATTATGAATGAACATTTGCTAGCAACAGAATAGAATGCTATAACAGATTTCCAAAATGCTACCTTTAAAAAAATATGCCACTTTTTCATGTACAACACAAAGCAGAAAGGATACCAATACAGCTATCTTCTCTTATTTTCCACACAACAATAACTCTGTAAAGTGAGAGGCTGAGGAAGAGTACCGTATTTCCCCATGTATAAGCCACCCCTTTTTTCCAAAATTTTCAAGCCCAAAAAGTAGGGGGGTGGCATATACAAAACAGGTACACCTTTTATACGTGAAAAATGCATAAAATAACAAAGTAGGAATAAACTGGTTTTCCAGCAGTATGCTATACTTTTTTGTAAAAATTGTACGTGATGATACGATTACGAGTGCGAGTACGCGATAGAAATGCATACGCTAGGCATCGGCCTGAATGCTTCGTTCCTACTCTCGTTCCGATGCGTAGATTGCTAGCGTCGCCCGCACCGCTTTCGGCGTCATGACCGAAGTTGTAGATCTAGACGTTGAATTTTGTTTCTTTGTAAATTTTCTTTCTTCATAACTTGTTTCTCTAATAAAATATTTTTTTCAAAACTTCACAGTCCAAAAATTGGGGGGGTGGCTTATACAAAGGGGGTGCTTATACATGGGGAAATACGGTAACTGACTCAAAGTCACTCCTAAGATGGGAGTCACTCAGCCATTTTTTTAAATGCCTAAGGTGGGAGTAAGAATTCACTCTTTTGATTTCTAGGGACCACTTTGGTGGGAAGGTAACAGTGTTCCTTGCACCTTCAGCATTTAGTCATGCCGGCCACATGACCACGGAGACATATTTGGATAAAACCGGCTCTTCGGCTTTGTAACGGAGATGAGCACCGCCCCCTAGAGCTGGAAACAACTAGCACGTATGTGTGAGGGGAACCTCTCTACCTTTACCTTAAACGCTACATCCAATTGTCTCTCTTTAATTTTATGTCTTTAGCCCACTTTCAAATCAAACTAATGAAAATACCCCAGACTCAAAAACATGACTCTGGCTAGTTAGCAGGAGTGCGGGTGGGGGGAGATAAAACAGATAACAGAAAAACAATAAAAGAAGAGCTAATACAGGACCCAAGATATAATCTACAAAACAATCTAATTAAGATTCAGTTCAACTACACATCCTGAGCCACATGGTTCCTATTCCTAACCTCAAAATAGTTTTGGAGATACTTCTAGGAACTGCATAGTTGATTTTAGGAATATAAATGGCAACTTCTCTGCTACAGTTAAGTTGCTATAAGGTCCTTATTGAATACTATAAAACAACCCGCCCAAATATAGAAACACTGATCAGTGGAGTCTTTGATGTTCTCTGAGCTTGGTTGTTTTCTTGCAGACATTTCATTACCCATTTAGGTAACATCACTGATTATCGTTGTTACTTAGTTGAATAATAAAACTTCTGCAAGAAAATAACAAAGCTCAGAGAGCACTGAGGACTCCACCATTCAACTCTGGGCTGCAGATACTATTTTCTATTCTATTGGCAAACATTAATCATTTCTGAAATGTTGGCAAAGTCATTGGTTTTAAAGAAGCTGAGCACAGCTGCTTTTATAGCAATTTTGCATACAGTGCTTAGCTTGGTGACTTTGGCTGGTGTAATGAAAGAAAAATATTTCAGAATAGCGAGCTGAAACCCAAAAGTGGCTTTTGTTGACCTGCATGAAGGAAACACATCACTGATCAACCATGCTTGCTTTATTTCCCTTTTTTCTCCCCCTTCTTTTCTTTCTTTCAATCAACAGCGACTGGATTCAGAAGGAATCCTGACAGCCCAAATTAAGTTTTCCTCAGGAAAAAGCATTGCAGACACAAAAGAAATCCCTTGTAATTTTCACATTATCTGAAAATTCACACTGTCTTGCCAACTTGAAAATAAATGCTTCATTATAAGGAAGGCAATCCCCTTCATTTATTTCCAAGTTAATATGCAGTATGCTTTGAAGAGGGAATAGTGTTGATTTCTCAAGAGGAGGATCAGTAAAAGAATAATGTACTTTTCTTCACTTTAAAATGATGTTAAGAAGCTTCTATGCACCAGTGCTTTATTTTTATAATCTCTTTCCTTTCATTCTGGCTCCAAGCCTTAAGAGATAAGAGTAAAATGGGCTGCTGGAAGTTAATCATAGCTTCATAAACAAATTATCCCAAACTACTTTTGCTCTTTTTTTACCATGAGTAATAATCTGTGCCTATTATATGTTCTGTGAGGTATGGAAAGAAAATAAAGTATATATTATCCATTGAGGAATGAAAGGAATGCATTTCTTACCTTCTTAAGCTTCACAACCCCTTCCTGCGTCTCATAATCTGTTGTGATTTCAAAGACTTCTATACCGTCACCATCAATGATGTTGTAAGTTACTAAACCGTTTTCTCCAATGTCTGGATCTTTGGCTTTTACTCTTCCAGCTTCCTCACCAGGAACAGCGGCTTCCGATATTGACATCTGATAAACACCTAGGCAAAATGGTGCTTATCAGTAAATGAGCTATATTGTTAATTCCTTTAGGAGTATTTATTTTATTGACTCCATCAAGATATGCAAAATCTAGCAGAGAGAACATGAACATTCCAGAGGTTCCAAGTCAGATTCAGGCAGCAATTCACCAAATAAAACATCTCTTGGCACTTAGTGTTTTGCCCCACCACACTTTGTTTTTCGTAGGTTTAATTAAAAAGTAGAGAAATGCTAATTTGGCAGGCTATAAGGCAAAGCTCTTCCCTGAACCATTATGGACTTGGGTGGTCTTATACTTAAAAACAAACAAACAAACAAACCAAAATTGCTTGAACTTCTTGTACAGAGACTCTATAATGAAAATTCTTGTTTTTCTGCTTACAGCTTTTTTTCCATAGAATAAAATATGCAACTGCTGCCTAAGTGAAATCAATTCAAGTGTGTGTTTATATAAATCTGTTTTTGAACTAATCCGCAAAATATTTGGCTCTTTCTGGAGTTTCTGGAGCGCATTAACCCTTTTCATTAATCCAGTTAAGATGTGAATGCAATTCAGGAGATGCACAACTGTAAAGAGTATGGATAGAGGAGGGAGTGAGGGAAGGAAGGAAGGAAGGAAGGAAGGAAGGAAGGAAGGAAGGAAGGAAGGAAGGAAGGA